AACGGTCCGTCCATCCAATATGCTAAATACACTATGCTGAATGCACCTTTGTCTACCTCCCTTATATCGTAAAATTGCTTAAATGGTATCCACTCAAGACTATTATTTACATTCCTTCCACTTTCCTGAGATTTTCGAATTATTTTATCAATTTTTGAATTACCACTTGTCCAATTCGAAGGTTGTTCCTGAAAAAACTTACGAGTGCATGCTACACATATATCTTTTGAATAACATTTATGATATGCATCAATATGTACTTCCTCTCTTTTAATAGACTTAGACGAAGAATTGGCCCTAACGCTATTCATCTTTAAAGTTCAAAAAGAGCATCGATTGGATTCAGATCTTAACTCCGGTTATACATACATAGGTTGTACAATTTTCTAAATGAGGCACTGAATTTTGATTCGATTACAATACAGTACAGTATTATGTTTACCGAAGTGCCACTGGAAAATATTTTAAAGTGTGCATACTTGGATTTTTCTAGAATCGTCCTGACGGATCATTGGGAATATGGTAGTTGAATAGGATCGATTATTAACGTTAAATACTCATTTAAATATATATAATACAAATTTTTGTCGTTTAAATGCAATGACGAAAAGTTGACATTATATCTAGTTTTGCGAAATTGAATATACTATATTAATATTGAAAACGGTAACGAAATATATTGAAATGTTACCTTTCTATAAATGCATTGCGTGTTCTTTTCCCGAAAGTCATAACTTTTTCCTTGTAATCGATATTGTTTTTTGGTTTTGTAACAAGGAAAACTATAAAAATAATGCAACGATAGGCGCGTAAAGATAATCTCGGAAAAGTTTCTATTCATTCTAAGAATAGATATCTTTTAATTTGAAAACTATAAAATTAGTTGAAATAATTAAACTTTTTGCGATTTAATATCAATGCATTATAAAAATTACAACTATATAATATACTACAATAAATATCACTACTGTATTTTAAGTCGAAATTATCACAGTATAGCGATTAACAGAAATTTTATAATGTGAATGTGCTCATTTAACCTATTATCGAGTTCAAACATTAAAATATACACAGAACTGAATTATAAAAAAACCGAATTGCATTAAACTTGGAACTTTAGCTTCGTGAACTTTGGCTGCGTAAAAGTTAAATCTATAATATATACAGGTCGACTTTTCAATTTTAGAAAATCTGAACCAATGAATTCAACAAAATTTATTTATTTATTATTCTTAGTCATATTACGCAACAATTAAAGCATTGTAGAAATAGCGTTACATAAAACTTTGATCATATGGATTGTTATAATAATTAAAAATTTATCGACTCCATCAAAAAATACTATGCATTTCTTGCTAATGAAAAAAAAGCCGATACTTAACTTTAAATTTTGCAGAATGGATGTTTATTGTTAAATTAAAATAAATTTAGTAAATATAATATTGCTTTTTATAATTCAAATAAAACAGAAATTTTATTAATAACACGAACAACTTATTGGCTAATTATTAATTAAAAATTTTGTTGTCATTTTTTCTTATGTTATTGTAAAAATATTTAGTTAAAAAAGATACTAATACGTCTTAATTATTTTTAAAATACACTTAAAAGACATTCAACATTCATAATATTTACATTGGTAGATAACCAGTGCCATGCTTACCTAACTTAAGACAAAGTATTAACTGATTATTTGTGTTGATTTATTGACAGGAAAAGCGGCATTATGAAAAATTACTACAGTACACTGAATAATTTAGAAATATATAATGTGACGGTCAATCGGCGAGTCTGTCGCTAAAATGGGCAGAATGTCGCGTAACCGTCGATGAGGTAAGGGGTCTTAGCGAAATTTTTAGGCGAGTTCGATTTGGCTGAGTAAAAAAAATGTCAATCAATCCATGTTCTTTATTTACTTTTTACTTCCTTCTTCTTTTATACATCTTTGTTGGGACGGTTTTTACATTCTGAAAAAAAATAAAGGTGACATCGATTATCTAATGTCTTCTCATAATTCTCCCTAATTACATAATGCTCGGTCACAATTATTTTATATTACCTAATCGTTTTCACGATCCTCCTCTCATTACCTAACTCTCTGACACATTATTCTGCTACCATTTTAACCATTTCCCATCACTTTCGCTTAGATTTTCCCTCCATACCGCCTTGAGTACCATGATCGGAACGGGTCCTTCGCAGCACTATAGCGACGATTAGTCACGTGCCTGGCATCGCGTGGATGGGATCGGCGGATATTCATCGATCTTCGTTGATATTTATGCGTTTTATTAAATCACAGAGTTTAATTGTCGCGACTATTGGCGTTATCTTTATGCACCGATCGTCGCCTTATCTTTATGGTTGGTTTTTCTAAATGAAGTATTAACATCGGTTATGTAATTTAAGAAAACGGCATTTTAATTTTTGTGAAGTTGGATACCGATTGTATCTATCCATATTATACCTACTTTAAAAGGTATTTGATTTACTCCTGATAATATACAAGTTTAAGACACTTTCTCAGATGATTGTTAAATATATATATAGTATAATTTTAATCTCTAACAATATATTATATCATCAAGACATACTAATTAATTATTATAAGTTAATATAACCAAATTAGAAGCATAAGGCTATAGAATATACATATTGTTTATATTATTTTTTTTATTTTCTTTTATATTTTCTTTATGTTAATTAAGTACATATGTTTTTAAATATTAAATCCAATATAAATATATATATATTTTTTAAAAAAAAAACTCATTTTCTCAATATCTCTATTTATAAAAAATTACCTTTTTAAGATATTTTTTTCCAGAAAATTTTGTCTAGTAAATATGTCTTTAGGAGTGAATATAAACTAGAGGACTAATTTAAAGCAGTAAAAATTTCAAAAATAAGATTGGCCCCTGAAATTTAACAATATTTCATATTAAAAGATCTAATAACTAATAATGGTACTGGACAATAATTTGAAATAGAAAGACCTATAGGTCTATAATACAGTGGTAGTATTCCATAGGTTATCAGAAGAAGGTTTAGGGTTCAACCCCACCTGGTTACAAAAATTTATCACCTTCATGATTGGTTGACCAGCTCCCAATTCATGTTGTACCCAATCAGCTGACAATTCACTTTCAAATTTAGTTAAGCTGCATGAAAATGGAACCTCTGGTCTTCCCGATGATTGCAGGCTAAAATCAGGTCGAAGCACAAAAGGTTGCACAAGGAAAGGCTTCTGGTCTAACTCTGGTAAAAGCCTATTCTAACTCAAACTAGTGATGGCAGACTTCATCACATAATTTCAAAAAAAAAGATTAATTCTAAACCATTCTATCTCAATCTGGAGCTTATATATCTATCCCAATTGTGACATTCTATGGAACATAATCATATGATCAAAGGGCAAGGTATCAGCTACAGGTGGTAAAAATATTAGACAAAAATTGTTAAGCCAAGTGTGTCTAGTAAGGATCAGTAATAACAATAACTGGAATACTGGTGTTAATCTCTATAATAATATTCCATAATGTGCCCAACCCATGACAAATGCAGTCGAGACTGGACCTAGTAGGTTAGGTGGTTTAAACTAGTAGTAGGATTTCCATCTTCTATGTAAGTCCCACCTGGCATGTGAATCATTTACTTGATGTTTAAAATTTTGATAGCTGGGTATGTCAAAGAGCAATAGACTACAATTAATTTAAATTTTATGTATCTTAAAGATTGTTAATGTAATGATAATAAACTATGTTTAATAAATGTCTCGTATTTAATGCCTGTTTGCACTTAAAAAAAAAAATAATAATTTGAAATAAAAAAAATAAACAAAAAGAAAAATTTTTATATGAAATTCATCTTTATATACAATTTATCAAACATATACTATTTTATTTAATCAAATAAATTTCTTAAATATCTTTTTCAAGAGACAGTACTTTATTTTTTTAAAGTTTTTTGTTTTCTGTTAATAATAACTAATACAGAATTTCTTATAATCTTCTAACTAGCTACCAGTTCTTGCTTACAAATTTTATATAAAAAATTGTAATTAGTTTGTCTCTATCAAAAAATCAATAACATATAGAACATTAATTATATTTTATATTATCTTACTATATTAAAACAATATAATAAATTATTAAATTAAAAAAGTATATAATTATACACTAGTTGAAATTGATTTATTTAGCATAATGCCACTCATTCATCATTCATCAAAAAAGTATATAGTTTGGCTAATTAAAATTTATATAACTTTTATCTTTGGCTATAAAGTGGCATATGATTTATTTGGCACATAAATGGTATACTTTTTTTAAATCTCATTTGAAGAAGTTAATATTTCAACAATAAAATGGATAATTTATTTTTTGCATCAAATATATATATTGTATATATTTTGACTTTGCCAAATTATATTACTTTGATGAATTATATTATTTTGCAAAATATATATTATTAAATTATATTACTTTGCCAAATATATATATTTTAACAAAATTTTATATATTCTATTTGCGATTTAAAGAAATAATAGCTAAATATTCACAAGAATCTTGTCAATTTGAAATCTTATATTTAAATAAAATAAATTAACTAAAAATATTATGAGTAGGAATTATACATTCGCATTTAAGTAAATAAAATTTAGTACTTTATAATTCAATATTCATATCATTTTTGAATCAAAATAGAACCTGATATTTGTCAAATTAATAGGTTTAAACTATCAAATAAAAGCCAAATTGTGTTTTGCCACATTATTTGATAAGTTGACTAAATAAGTGAAGAAAAATTAAACCTGTTCTGAGTATAAATCAATACTTCTATCATGATTTACAAATTGGGCTAAAACAAATGAACCTTTTATATTTTGTAGTGACATAACAGAATCAAATATTTCGCTTCCAATTCAGTATCTTCCATATTTATTAGCTTTATTTTAAACAATTATTGAATTATTATTAATATTTTCAATTAATGGCCTTTGAAAGTTCATGGTTTCATAAAAAGTTTTATAATATTTGACTAATAAATTCAAGATTTCGAAAGATACAATTAAATTTAATTTTTCAGAATGCAATAGTTTGTCAAGAAATTGTTTGAATCTATTGATAACTGTCTTTTGAATATTATATGTGTTGTTTAAGAATTGCATAGTTCATCTGCTGAAAATTGATCTAATTCTGAAATTGATCTGATATTTAATCGATTATTTAAGATTTTGAGTCCTGTAGTATTATAATAGGATGTGGTTAGATTAATAATTCAGCAGTTATTCATCAATATTCACATTAAT